TCAGGGGAACCCGGTTTATTTTTCATATAGTCGGACTTGAGTATCCTGGAAATGGGCAGTACAATGCCTGCACTTTAAAGGAGGGTTTGGGATATGGCAGTTTGGAGGATAATGTTTGTGTCTTAAATGTTATGCTTCAGACTGTTTGTATTCTGAGCACCTCTGCAAAAACAGTGATAAAGTGCGAGTGTGGTGAAAGTGTTGAATGATGATGAAAGTATTTTCTTTTTGGGGATTTTCTTTCTTTTTTGGGTCACCCTGCCTCGGTGGGAGACGGCCGACTTGTTGAAAAAAAAAAAAAAAAAAAAAAAAAAAATTTACTTCCTCCATACTCATTCCAGTCTGATATTTAGTCTTACACTGCTTAGATTTTTGTTACTCTCATCACCTTATTCCTGTATTCACTTTTGATTTCCTTCTCTTTACATACCCTCCCAAATTCCTCCAATAATTTTTGCAACTTCTCCTCAGAATCTCCCAAAAGAGCCATGTCATCAGCAAAGAGCAACTGTGATTTTAGATTTTGCCACCGAAGTGGCTAGTTTATTGTGCACCCCATATCCATCCTGTGGACGGTAGCGCGAGAGCATATGGATACACAAAAGGCCTAGGAACTAGGCCCCAAAGGGTTAACAGGAATACTATGGATTTATAATCTACATATCTATAGTTCACTTATCGATACAAGCAAATTTAGGAATTTGCTTAGATACTGGTATCTTATTTTCATTAAATAAGATATCGTGACTGACACATAGGTTATTATACTGTCTTCTCTGTATTACCAATAAGTGAACAATTAAAGCACATAGTGTTCAAGATAGTGACCATATGCCTACATAATTTACAATTAGTATTGATCATCATTAGTGTGTCTCCCAAACTGCCAGAAGTAACTTGGTAAACGCAAGCCTAAGCCTGGCCACTACAAACATCAGTCAGTCTGGTTCCATTGCAAGTTGCTCCATAAACATACTTTATCTACGTTCATGTATCATAGTGGTTATAGATCTACTCAGGCTTCTAACTGCATTCCCTATAACAATCATTTTCATTATTTACTTCCTCTCCTAATATTATTCCTAATGCTAGACCACATAATACAAAGTGTAAAATTTCTACATTCTCCTTTTTCGAAACTCCCACTTAGCATTAAATTAGCTATGTATTAATTCACAACCTTTCCCAACGCCTAGCACTCGCTTCTTTTAACAACCCCATCTATAAACCAGACTGTAGTGAGCGAGCTAGCAGTCAGTGACATCATCTTTGTGCAGGCTGCTCACTGAAGCTTGTGACACGAGGCTGACACAGCACCTGCTGACAGGGCTAACTGCGGCTTGACGAGTGTCATTCTCTCGGCAATTGGAGTTATAGCAGAGGTTAGTTTAAGCATCCCCAGACTTGTTTCTCTACATATAACTGCACTCTGAAAGTCTGGAGGTGAAGTGAAACAAATCTCGATGGGAATCGTAGCAGGTACGATTCTGCAGAACATCTATGAGCGACGAGCATAAGAGCTTTCTGTACAAGGGAGCTCATACGCTCAGGGGCTGACAGATATCAGCTGTCAAACGCGCTGGTCACAACGGGTGACTAACATAATGGTGCTACACAAGGGTCTGACCACAGACCTCACTGGACACACGGAAAGCTTTACACACACCCGCGGTACATGCGGTACAACATGGCTTAAACTAGCAAATGATGCTTTTCTGTGCACAAAATTGACACTAAGTCATACACTAACATGTGAGAACACTGACTGAGAGGAACTAATTAACACACGACATATATCTTCTCTCAATCTTCTCGACAATACTGAAATAATTACTAGAAAGACTCGATGTGACATGTGTGATGTAAGCTTGTACCTTACCCCTTTTTGCCTCCATGGATTAAATTCTTTGTCTCTACATATACCTCAACACAACCCCCTTTTAGCCCCCATCAATTCTGTTGTTCACCTCATCTTTCGTAGATCCATCCACTCCCAAATATATGAACACATTTACTTCCTCCATACTCATTCCAGTCTGATATTTAGTCTTACACTGCTTAGATTTTTGTTACTCTCATCACCTTATTCCTATATTCACTTTTGATTTCCTTCTCTTTACATACCCTCCCAAATTCCTCCAATAATTTTCGCAACTTCTCCTCCTCAGAATCTCCCAAAAGAGCCATGTCATCAGCAAAGAGCAACTGTGATAACTCCCACTTAGCATTAAATTAGCTATGTATTAATTCCACACCTTTTCCCAATGGGCTAGCACTCGCTTCTTTAACAACCCCATCTATAAATATTAAACTACTATGGTGACATCACACATCCCTATCTAAAGCTTGCTTTTACTGGAAAATAATCCCCTCCCCCTCTCCCACATTTACTAATCTGAGCCTCACTATATGCATGAACACTCTTTATTGCTTTTAATAACTTACTAGTTCCATACATCTGCAACATCTGTCACACTGCTTCCCTCTCAACCCTATTGCGTGTCTTTCCTAAATCCATAAATGCGACAGAAATGTTCCTTGCCTTTATCTAAGCACTACTCACAGATATGCTAATCATCTGATCTATACATCCTTTCCCACCCTTCCTAAGTCCTGGTTTTTGGTGTCCTGTGGCTAGGTTGATAACGCACACAGTTCACATTCTGAGTGTCCGTGGTTTGATCCCTGGCACGGGTGGAAATGTTGGGTATGTTTCCTTGGTCCACCTATTGTGGGTCAGGCACAAATTCCAAAGAACCATAATGGAAATAAGAAAGACATTTCCTAATTATACACTGACTTTATTGGTTTATCCTGGGTGACTAACCCTCCAGGTTAAATCTTTCTTTCTTTCAACACACCGGCCGTATCCCACCAAGGCGGGGTGGCCCAAAAGGAAAAACGAAAGTTTCTCCTGTTACTTCTTCTTTCAACATACCAGCCGTATCCCACCGAGGCAGGGTGGCTCAAAAGAAAAAACTAAAGTTTCTCTTTTTAAATTTAGTAATATATACAGGAGAAGGGGTTACTAGCCCCTTGCTCCCGGCATTTTAGTCGCCTCTTACAACACGCATGGCTTACGGAGGAAGAATTCTGTTCCACTTCCCCATGGAGGTAAGAGGAATAAACAAGAACAAGAACTAGAAAGAAAATAGAAGAAAACCCAGAGGGGTGTGTGTGTATATATATGCTTGTACATGTATGTGTAGTGTGACCTAAATGCAAGTAGAAGTAGCAAGACGTACCTGAAATATTGCATGTTCATGAGACAGAAAAAAGGACACCAGCAATCCTACCATCATGTAAAACAATTACAGGCTTTCGTTTTACACTCACTTGGCAGGACGGTAGTACCTGTTCCAAGTTAAATATCTGAACAAAATCTTATTTTGTCCTCCTTGTTCTTCTACAGTCCTACTTTGTCTTACCCTTAATTATTTCAGCACTTAATTATTTTAACACATACTACATGTATTCATGGTAAACTTCTTCATTTAGTATATAAACACTATTATTCAAACATTTTTTTTGGTTTAAGAAACTCCATCATAAGTACAAAATCGATTAAGAATAATTACTGTACTTAATAACTGAGCTATATCAACACAAAAATGTATAGTTAAACAGCCATCAGATTCAAAATATATCTAAGGCTCGCAAATAAACCTAACAGTTTTGCAATCTCTAACCTAACATTTATACTAATAAAGTTTTATCCACATGAAATACATTGTTTTGTATGTACAGGTTGACCATCACTAATCTAGCATCTTTGGGACCTGTAGTTTGCCAGATTAGTGAATTTGCCGGATTACAGAGTGGTTAGGTTAGAATACACTTAATTAACCTATCAATAGAGACCTTATATTTTTATCACTGCTTTCTCTTTCACTGGCTTGCTGCTGTGGATTTACAACCATCTGCGCAATTTCTGAGTCAGAATAATGATGAAATTTGAAGTTATGCTAGCTGAAATAAGTACCAGATTACTGATGGAACTGGATAACTGATTGCTGGATTAGTGATGGCTGACCTGCATGTGTGTGTGTGTGTGTGTGTGCATGTGTTTGCATGTGTACTCATCTAGTTGTACTCACCTAGTTGAGGTTGCAGGGGTCGAGCTCAAGCTCCTGGTCCCGCCTCTTCACTGGTCGTTACTAGGTCATTCTCCCTGAACCGTGAGCTTTGTCATACCTCTGCTTAAAGCTTTGTATGGATCCTGCCTCCACTACATCGCTTCCCAAATTATTCCACTTACTGACTACTCTGTGGCTGAAGAAATACTTCCTAACATCCCTGTGATTTATCTGTGTCTTCAACATCCAACTGTGTCCCCTTGTTGCTGTGTCCTATCTCTGGAACATCCTGTCTTTGTCCACCTTGTCAATTCCTCTCAGTATTTTGTATGTAATTATCATGTCCCCCTTATCTCTCCTCTCCTCCAGTGTTATCAGGTTGATTTCCCTTAACCTCTCCTTGTAGGACATACCTCTTAGCTCTGGGACTAGTCTTGTTGCAAACCTTTGCACTTTCTCTAGTTTCTTTACGTGCTTGGCTAGGTGTGGGTTCCAAACTGGTGCCGCATACTCCAATATGGGCCTAAAATACACGGTGTACAGGGTCCTGAACGATTCCTTATTAAGATGTCGGAATGCTGTTCTGAGGTTTGCTAGTCGCCCATATGCTGCAGCAGTTATTTGGTTGATGTGGCTTCAGGAGATGTGCCTGGTGTTATACTCACCCCAAGATCTTTTTCCTTGAGCGAGGTTTGTAGTCTCTGGCCCCCTAGACTGTACTCCGTCTGCGGTCTTCTTTGCCCTTCCCCAATCTTCATGTGTATGTTATAATGTGCATACATATAGTTATGTACAGGCATACAGTCATTATACATAAAAAACTTATAAAATTATTAATATTGATAGCATTTTATTTAATTGTATGGTAGAGAAATTGAAATTATTTGATTTGCATTATATGCAGTATTATTGTGTGATTTGCAGATGGGATCCTAAGAGACATGCCTGGAGAGTGTCAGAGTTACTGAAGCCTCTGGTGGTACAGCTGCAATGGTACAAGGCAGGAAAACTGGTTTATACATCAGTCAACTATGCTGGTTATATTGGTATTCTTACAGGTGTCAAAAAGGTTTGTAATTTTACATTTTTTTAATACATTGGCTGTTACCCACCAAAGCATGTTTGATCCCTAGCTGTCTTAGCAAATGATCATTAATAACCCCCTAAAATACAGCATGCACACCTATTTTTGAAAAAACAGGCATCTCTGAAACTTTAGTCTGGCTAGCCAGTTTCGATGTGTCATACTGTACATATTGCCAGTCTTTAACTAACAGGAAGTTAAATCCCAAAATCTACTTATCTCCACTTGCTCTGCCTCCTGGACGAAACGTCATCGTAAGCTTCTCTCTTTTATGTGCGAGTTATTTGTGTATCGTTCCAGTCACGGTATTGTGCCTTTTTTGTTATTTATGGACCCCACAGTTAAGCGTCATATTCTCTCCAACTTTTTTAATGTTCTTCCCTCTTTTAAACCCTTCTTTCGATCTTATGAGGCTGCTCTTATTGCTACCCGGCGTCGTAAGAATCAGCTTCGCTTCCTACGCGACTATCTTGCTGAACAAGTTCTGCCCCCTTCCTTCTCCCACTTCCTGAAAACCAACCCACTGGGCACTCCCTTTCCTGATCATGCCCGTCTCCTACTTCAACAGCTCATTCTTTCTACTAAATCACAGGTTGAAGATGCCTTCTTTACTTTCCGTCAACGTCAACGTGCTCTCTTTGCGGCTCTACCACAGCATCTCTGTAACCTTCTCTCTACCATTGCCTTTGACACTGCTCGCCTGAATACACAAATTCATTGTTCCAAACTACAGAATAAACTTCAACGTCTCATCTCAGCTAGCCCTTGGTCTAAATTCTCCCTCACTGACTGTGTTACTAACTTGTCTTCTGTCTCACTCTCCCAGTATGAGCTTGAACTTCTTGGTTTTGGCCTTTCCTTTGCCACTTCGCCTACTCCTCGCACTGGTATTTCCCTGATTAGCTCTTTTGATTCCTTTCGTCAATCTCGCTCCCATAATCTTCCTGACTTGTCCACTTTTCGTGGCGCTCTCCTTCCTGCTCTTGTTAGTCTGTTTTCTAAGAATCATAACCTTCCACGGCATTACCAACTTGCCCTTTCTTCTCTTAAATCCAACACTAACATTGTCATACTATCTTCTGACAAAGGTAATTCGGTAGTTATCCTTGATCGCGAGGATTACCTCCGTAAAGCTGATGTCTTGCTCTCTGACTCACGTACCTACACTCCTCTCGTTTCCAACCCTCTTGATCGCATCAAGAGAACTTTCAACAAAAAACTAAGGATTCTCTCCGACCTCTGTCCTCCTGACTTTGACCTTGTTCAATGGTTTCATGTCATCTGTCCCTCTCTTCCCTATTTCTATGGCCTTCCCAAAACTCATAAACCTGATATTCCTCTCCATCCTATCATATCCTCTAGAGGTTCTGTCTCTTATTCTCTTGCTTCTTGGCTGGCCAAAACCCTCACTCCCTTTCTTGGTACTTTTTCTCCTGCCCACCTCCGTCACTCTCAAGACTTCATTGAACAGGTTCGCTCTCTCCCAACCTGTAAGATGCTTAGTCTTGACTTTGAGTCCCTCTTCACCAATGTCCCTCTTGATGATGTCCTTGATTTCCTTAGAGAGAAGGCCCATGAAGGGTTTCGTCATCTCCCTATACCTACTGATGTCTTTCTTGATCTTATCCGCCTCTGTGTGGACTCTAACTCCTTTTCCTTCCAAGGGAAATATTATTCTCAAACCTTCGGTGTCGCTATGGGCTCTCCTCTCTCTCCTGTCCTTGCTAATCTTTACATGGAATACTTCGAGACTGTTTCTTCCTACCCTCGATGTGCAACCTTCACTCTGGCTCCGCTATGTGGATGACATTTTTGCTCTGTGGCCTTATGACTCCAGTCTCTTCCAACCTTTTCTTGAAGCTCTTAATAATCTTGCCCCTGAATGGGAATCTAATTCCTTGCTTCCTTTCCTTGATGTCCATGTCCACCGCTCAGATACAGGTTTTTCCTTTTCCGTTTACGAAAACCTATGCACAGTGGCATGTACATTCACTACTTTTCCTATCATGCTTCCCCTGTCAAGAAAAGTGTTCTTATCTCCCTCTTTCTCCGTGCCCTCTGCATCTGTGATCCTCAGTTCCTTCCAGCAGAAATTTCCACTCTTCATAATTCGTTTTCCCGTCTTGGCTACCCTTCCCATTTCATAGACTCTGCCCTCTCACGTGCTAAACACAATTTCTTCTCTCCCAAACTCTCTACTCCTGGGAACTCTTCTATCCTCTGCCTTCCCTACATTTCCGGTCTTTCTAATCTCAACAATTCTCTCCGTCCCTTAGACATCAAGCTTACCTTCCGCCAGACTAACACTCTTTGCACTAATCTTGTTCATACCTCTCCTCCCTCTACAGATGTTCCTGGTGTCTACTCTATTTCTTGCTCCTCCTGTCCTCTTCAATACTTCGGAGAAAGCTGGTCGATCTCTTTCTGACAGACTTAGGGAGCACAAAAATACTGTTAGGCTTGCCGACACTAACAATGCTCTTTTCTGTCACGTCAGAGATCATAGCCATCCTATTGACTGATCTTCTGCTAAAACTGTCTTCCCTACTTCCAACTCGAACAGTCGCCGTCTAGTTGAATCCTCTCTAATACACAACTTTCCTTGTATGAACCTTAGCCCTGGCTTCGTCTCCGTAGATGCCTTCCTCTCCCACTACATTATAAAATGCTCCAAACTTCAGAACACCCATGACTTAACCTGGCTCCTCATTTTTTTTTCTTTTTCTTTTTCTTCTTCTCCCTCTTCCCCTTTCCTCTTTCCTTTTCTCCTCTGGGTTGTCTTTCTCTCTTCTGTCTCGTGTTTCTGTTCCTTCTTCATTTATTTCACCACTTCCCCTTTCACACACCTCTGTGCACTTGCTCTCCCTCAGTGGGCACCTAGCTCTCTTGCAGTGCTCCCCTTCCTTTGTATTTACTGGCTCGTCCTCCTTATTTCCCACTTCTACCACCACTACTACTACCTCTTCTACTACTACTACTACAACTACTGATGAAATTGAGACACACGTGCGGCGTCTGGTTGTCTTTGTTGTGGACGTTTCGCCATCCAGTGGCTGGCTGGATGGCGAAACGTCTACGATAGGGATGCCCGGGTGTTGCGCATGTGTCTTAATTTCATCTTGTCGGTATTATATACCATTCTTGTACTACTTCTACTACTACTACCACCACCTCTTCCTGCCTATATATAGCCATCCTACTCCACTTCTGGTTAGTGTTGACTTTGTCAATGGTCCAAGTCGGACCGAAACGTCGTCGTAAGCTTCTCTCTTTTATGTGCGGGTTATTTGTGTATTGTGTATGGTATACAGGCCTAGCTGACAGCAGTCAGCTAGGCCTATATAGAAAGCCCCTTATGCTGAGCATTTCAGGCACATTAGGTCAGTGTCCCAGGATGCGACCCACACCAGTCGACTAATACCCAGATACCCATTTTACTGATGGGAAACATAGACAACAGGTGGAAAGAAATACGCCCAATGTTTCTACTCTGGCTGGGAATCGAACCCAGGCCTCTCCAGGCTGCTCCTCCTAAAACTTCTATCAGACATTCCCTACATCTTCCACCCATCAAAGACTTGCATACCCTCTTAACCTATTTTGCTCCAGCCTTTCTGTATGAACATACATCTTGACTATCTCTTATCTTCCCCTTTAATTATACCTTTTTTTCCAACCCTCTAAATTAAAGTTTATTTTGCCAAAAAAAAAAAGAGGATGTAAATTCTTGCTTAAACTTCAAATTCTGCACCAGTAAATTATGTCCTGCTTTTATCTTTTATTAAATGTCCTATGGTTTTTGCAAGTTTTTTTAAAGGTGGAAGAGACTGTGAGCCAAGAATAGGATGAAATGACACTAAACATCAAAAGCCTATACAATGGTACTTCGAGTTTCGAACAGCTCCCAACTTGAACAGTTATGTAAGTGTATTTTTGTAAGTTCTTTTGTAAGTGTATTCTTGGGGGTCTGAAACGGACTAATCTAATTTACATTATTCCTTATGAGAACAAATTCGTTTGGTATTGGCACTCAAACAGCCTTCTGGAATGAGTTAAGTTCAAAACTCGAGGTACTTCTGTATTCTAACATTTCACTCGTGGAAAGTTTTATCAAGGTATTCAAAAACACACTGCTCTTATAGGCCATCCATTTAGGTAAAGAGTGAGTTGTGAACCTGGTTGCAGCATGACTTGGGCTGCTGCATGGTGAGTCAAGTACTAATAGGTGATGAATCAGAATTTGGGTGAGAGGTTTTGCAAGCAAAACCAGGCTCATTCACACTCGCAGAACCTCTCGTACATATTCTCCTCCAGGATGTGACCTCACCGGCATAGCAGCCTAGGTTACATAATCCAGGTCTACCTCTCACTCTTTACTGACTGGATGACATATTTGAGTAGTTTACATATTTTCTGTTTAACCTTATATAGCTATCCTCAAGTAAAATGTTACTGCAATGAAGGTTTACACTACTTTGTCTCTCTCTTCATCCAAGAGTGTCTGTCAAGTATTATTGTTCTTAAACTGCTCATTAAATTGAAAGTAGATCACTTCTTTAATGATTTCAGATTTTTGACATTGGATATTATTTATAACTTTGTATTGTATGCTCATCTGTTTTAGGGCCAGTTTACCTTTAGTTTAGATGAACGTTTTGGCTTCAATGGTGGATACGTTGGACTCTTGGAATGGATACTGTTTAAGGATTATAAACAGAAGTAAGTAGTGTATGCTTTCTTGTTACATTTTATTAGCTGTTTTTACTGGATTACATAATTTTTAAGTGTTGATTCTTGAAAAGATGCACTCTGTTAGTTTTCATATTTTTTCTTGTTATCTGAAATGGTCAAAGGTTTCATGGTTATTACAGACATCTTTGGTTACCATTACTGAAGGAATTTATTGGTAAAAAGAGATATGAAATACTGTACTGTATGGTACAACCTCTAATTTGTCAGAGGTTATGCTTCTGAAGATCACACAAATTCAAGATCAGTGAATATCACTAAAGTCAATGCTTGTATTACATTTTGTTTCAAATTGGGATTCGTTTTCTGTTTGAAGCCATGTCAGATTCAGTCTTACATATTGGGCTGTGAATTTTATTATATAGGGAGTACCAGACTTACAAGCAAGTTGCTTTCCTGAAGTTCCTTGGAACTCAGTTGTTCAGAACTCAGAAAACTAATATAAGAGGATGTTTTGTAACTATTACCCAGTTAGGTAGAAAATTTTTGATGATGCATGCTGTCTGCCCTGGATTATTATCAGGTCACAATGGTTAGTTTAATATCTTTATTGTGCACCCCATAACCATCCTGTGGTAGTCAAAAGATTACAGAGGCACATAATGGGTCCAGGGACTGGGCTGCAAGGTTTTGATAATATAATAATAATAATATAATAATAATATCTTCATTTCTACAAGTACATGTACAGGTCAGACATCACTAATCCGGCAATCAGTTACCTGTTTCCATCAGTAATCTGGAACTAATTTCGGCTAGCATAATTTCAAATTTCATCATTATTCTGACTCAGAAATTGTGCAGATGGTTGTAAATCCACAGCGGCAAGCCAGTGGAAAAAAAAGCAGTGATCAAAATGAGGAAGATGTAGCAGAAAGTCTCTCTATTGATAGGTTAATTAAGTGAATTCTAACCTAACTACTCTCTAATCCGGCAAACTCACTAATCTGGCACAATACAGGTTCCGATGATGCCAGATTAGTGATGGCCAACCTGTACAGGGTATACAGGCCTAGCTGATATCAGTAACATAGTACTACTGCTATATAGAAAGCAGCTTGTTATGCAGAGCATTTCGGGCAAATTAGGTCAGTTTTGTCCCAGGATGCTACCCACACCAATTGACTAACACCCAGATACCCATTTTACTGATGGGAATGTAGACAACTGATGTAAAGAAACAAGCCCAATGTTTTACACTTGATGGGAATTGAACCCAGACCCTCGCCATGTGAAGCGAGAACTTTAGCTACCAGGCCACTGAACACTAAACAAGTTAAAATAGTAATGTACTATTTACATGTTTATATCTGGCTACAGTCGTAATGAGTTATGTATCTATGCAGATATGCATTAGGTCACAAAGGAAAAAATTACAATAGGGAGAGAGAGAGAGGAAAGGGAGAAAATTGAAAAGACAGGTTAGATGAAGAGGTGAAAAGAAAGGCAAAAGACAGGTCAGGTCAGGTCAATTTTCTCTGTAAATTATAGGCTAATAGTGAATTGTGACTTGTATTCCTCTGGGATGACTGTTCCACTCAAGTCTAGACAATCATATTTATTTACTAATTTGGCTAATATGCTATGCTTTATCAAGTCACTGTTTGTTTCAAGTCAGTATAATGGACCCCCGGTTTTCGTAATTAATCCGTTCCAGAGAGTGACTAAACCTGAATCTGACGAATTCCGAATTAATTTTCCCCATAAGACATAATGGAAATCCAATTAATCTGTTTCAGACACCCAAAAGTATTAAAAAAATGTTTTCTACATGAAATATACATTTACCTTCACAGAAAATAATGATACATGAAGAATAAAACAATGATAACATCACACTTACCTTTATTGAAGACATGGTGATGTATGGAAAACGGGTGGAGGGGAGAGGATGGAGGAGTTTACAATTGTTTGGAAGGGGAATCCCCTTCCATAAAGACTTCAGGTACCAAGTCCTTATCCTGGGTTACTTCCCTTTGTTTTTTAATGCCACTAGTACCAGCTTGAGTCGCTGGACCCCTGTCGCTCAAAAAGTGTTCCAGAGAGGTCTGTTTCTGGCGTATGTTAGGAATTGTGTTGGGAGACAGGACAAGATAGTCCTTCCATATGACACAAATACCAGCTCTATGGCTTATTTATCTAGCACAGTTCATCTGATATGACATAACAAAATATTAATAACATAGAAATATGATATATACTCAAGAATGAATAAAATATGGCATTAAGAATGTCACGAGTGGTGGTGTGTTGTTTGTTGTTGGGTGTATAAGGGCCACTGAAAGATAAGCCTTACATAATTGTGGTGAAGGCGGCAGCAGAGGCGGTGGTGTTAATCAGTAGCTCTATATACCTCTAACAACAATGGAGGAGTCAGTTTCGTGCTGTCCTTTTTTTATCGATTAATTGCTTAACTTACTTGCTACACTGTTAATGCTACGCTTTATCACTGGCTGGCACTATAGCTTTTATCGACTCCTGCTGCTTTAGTATCGTACATACTGCAAAATCACTAAAAAAGGCACATTCTTCCCTCTCTCTCAGCCCTTTACCAAAGGGCTGGCTGGCACTAGGAACTTTCTTTGGGCCCATGCTGGCTTATTTAGCAGTTGCAAGCACAAAATATATCGTATGAACGAATGGGATCATCCCCATATGTAAAAAAGGGGCACCTGGTGAAAATGGTGTTTGGACCGCTCGGGCCGCATGGGACAGTTTCGGAAATACTATTCTAGTTTAGTGCGATACGGCCAAAGGTTTGGGGAAAAAAATTTTTCTTTTTCCAAATATTATGAAATGCAAAAATTTATCCCGGGGTCCACTGTTTTTTGTTTTTTTAATTTTTCTTTCCTTTCTAAAAAATTTTTTTTGTTTTTTTTTTTTTTTTTTTTTTTTTTTTTTTAAAATTTTTTTTTTTTTTACAACACTAAAGTGTTTTGCTAACCCCTCCTCACCTTTCTGCTTCGGGAAAAGAAATAGTATAAATACCATCACAATGGAAAAAGACAAAGCGTATAATGCATTTTCACCCACCAGTGAGTGACTTGAAAAAACCCCACTAGTGGGCTTTACGAGTCACTCTTTACTTTCTACTTTTTCAGTTTGAATGTTATTATTTGGGTTTGGTAGATTGCAACCACCCAGGGAGGTACACTGCCCTGCCAAATGAGTGACAATAAAAACCCGAATTGTTTTATTGATGGAGGATGGGGTGTCTTTTGTTGTTCATAAACATTCAAGATTCGGTACTTTTGCTACTTCACTTCCCTTAGGTCACACTACACAACATGTAAAAAGCACATATATACAACCCCCCGGGGTTTTCTTTATTTTTTTTTGTTCTTTTTCTTGTTTTTTTCTTTTACCCCCATGGGGAAGTGGAAAAAAATTCTTCCTCTGTAGCCGTGGGGGTTGTAAGAGGGAAAAAAATGCCGGGAGAAAGGGGGCCCTAGTAACCCTTCTCCTGTAATATTACTAAATGTAAAAAAAAAACTTTCGTTATTCCTTTTGGGTCCCCCCCACCTCGGGGGGATACGGGGTGTGTTAAAAGAAAAAGCCATCACAAGGATAGGCAAATGCAGTAAAATTTGCAGTTTCACCCACACATGAGTGTTGATAAAACCCACTGGGGGGTTTTTATAAGTCACCCCTCCCCTGAGCCATGGCCCAGAGGTCATTTCAAATTTTAAAAAAACTGTACACCAAAGCATATTTAAAAAATTTTTTTGAAGTGATTCAGACACTGGGATGACCCCAAGAGAGTTTTGAAAGATCACTTTAGTACCTCATTGCATAACCCTTGTAGGCGGGTTGGGAAAAAGTGACTAAAGGAAATTAACTCTGCTTAGAGGAATTGTGGCACAAAAAAGTGACAAGAGAGGGATTTTGAAGGTTTGAGGCTAACCCTGAGGAGCCTATGTCAGTTGTGGAATCTGTTGTGGCATTGGGGAAGTCCCATGGGGTTAGAGGTTAGTGAGGAGGATGTGGAAGAGTTGGTGGAGGACAATGATGAAGAACTAACCACTGATGAGCTGAAAGAGCATCTGCAACAGCAAGAGGCCACAACCAAGGAAATTGCTGCAGAGGAGGGGAGACAGAAATTGAGGAAGTTGCCTTCTTCGAAGATTAAGGAAATTTGTGCAAAGTGGGTTGGTGTGCAAACTTTTATGGAAGAAAATCGCCCTAACACAGCTGTTGCAAGCCGTGCTGGCGACTTTTACAATGACAATGTTGTGACCCACTTTAGGAAAATCTTAATTAAAGGAACGTGAGGTACAGAGCTCTATGGACAGATTTTTGGTGCAGCAGAGGTCCAGTGACTCTCAAGTTGTTCCCAGTGGCATTAAAAAACAAAGAAGGGACATAACCCCAGAAAAGGACTTGCTACCTAAAGTCCTTATGGTAGGGGATTTCCCTTCCAAAAAATAATAAACCTCCATCTCCCCTCCTCCCATCCCATCACTCATCACTACATCTTCAATAAAGGTAAGTGTCATTTACATATTCTTCATTTAGTACAGTACATGCACAATATATATACATGCACAATATATATTGTGCATGTATCCTTCTTTTTGTGTGTAGGAAAATGTATATTTCATGAGGTAAAAAAAAAAAAATTTTCATACTTTTGGGTGTCTGGAACGGATTAATTGGATTTCCATTATTTCTTATGGGGAAAATTAATTTCAACTAACGATAATTTCATCTAATGATGAGCTCTCTGGAATGGATTAACCCTTAAACGGTCCAAACGTATATATACGTTCTCCTGCATAGCACCCTGAATATTTTGAGAAAAAAAAAATAGTTTTTTATAGGAAAAAAGAGCATGTGGTACCCAGGCGTCCCCAATTTTTTTCATATGGCGCACACTGAGTGCACACACCCATTCTCTCATGTCTAGGTGACTCAGGCCTATCATGCCAATGTTGAATGAATGACAAATGAAACGTATATATACGTTTGGGGCACTACGAGAGAGAACATATATATATGTTTGGACCGTTTAACCCTTTGACTGTTTTGGTTGTATATTGTATATATACATCTTACGAGCCACCGTTTTTGATGTATATATGCTCATAAATTCTAGCGGCTTCAAATCAAGCAGGAGAAAGCTGAGAGGCCAACATGTGAGAGAAAGCGTCTGTGTGGTCAGTGTGCACCTTATAAAAAAAATCCTGCAGGACGCAGTGCATGATGAAAAAAAAACTCCGACCGTTTTTTTTAATTAAAATGCCAAATTTGTGGTCTGTTTTCGTGTAGTATTTATGGTTGTATTCTAGTTTTCCTGGTCTCATTTGATAGAATGGAAAACATATTATAGAAATAGAGGTAATTTTGATTGGTTTTACTATGAAAAGAACCTTGAAATGGAGCTCATAGTAGGGGAAATGTTTGATTTTTGCCAATGTTCAAAAGTAAACAAATGATGTCATTTTCCAATGAATGTCCAAGTAGCCATTCTGATATGCAGCCATGAATGGGTTGACATTATTTATACAATTATTGCAATATTGCAGTAGTCTGCATAACAGTAAATCTTCTATTTTTTGTTTGAATAAAAATTCAAAATAGAAAGCAAGAGTAATATCAGAGGGGCCTCGAGACATGACTGATGAACAAAGAAAATGTTATTTTAGAGCCAAGTATGTCTACATTGTTCATTCTGGACCCTATTTTGAAACTGTCATATTTTTTAATTTTCATGAAATTGGCCAAATTGCAAATTTCTGACCACATTATTGGGTAGTTGAAATCGGTAAATGGGCAGTTTCTTGTACTCATTCGATAGAAAAAATGGAGTTCTAAAGAAATAGCTATGAGTTTGGTCGACTGGAACAATGGAATTGGCTGAAAATAGGGCTCAAAGTGGGCAAAATTGCAGATTTGTAAATATCATTGAGGTCGCTAACTTTGCGAGAGCATAATTCCGTCAGTTTTCCATCAAATTTTGTTCTTTTGGTGTCATTACAATTGGGAAAAGATTATCTATCATTTCATAAGAAAAAATACTTTTTTTTTTCAGAAATTTTGCGACACCAGGAGACACCTCAGGATTTGGGGTTGCGACAGTCGAGGGGTTAAGGGTTAATATCGTAAGTTGAGGGTCCACTGTATATTAACCTGACATACACCCTTTGACTGTTGCAACCCCAAATCCTGAAGTGTCTCCTGATGTCAAAAAATTTTTGAAAAAAAAAAAAATTATTTTTTTTCTTATGAAATGATAATCTTTTCCCAATGGTAATGACACCAAAAGTACGAAATTTGATCGAAAACTTACGGAATTACTTTCCCGCGAAGTTAGTGATCTTGAGCCCTATTTTCGGCCAATTCCATTGTTCCAGTGACCAAACTCATAGCTATTTCTTTAAAAGTGAATTTTTTCTACCAATTGAGTACAAGAAACTGCCCATTTACCGATTTCAACTACCCAATAAAGTGGTCAGAAATTGGCAATTTGGCCAATTTCATGCAAATTAAAAAAGATGCCAATTTCAAAATTGGGTCCAGAATAAACAATGCAGACATTCTTGGCACTAAAATAACATATCCTCTGTTCATTAGTCACGTCTCAAGGCCCCTTTTATATTACTGTTGCTTTGTATTTTGATTTTTTATTCACACAAAAAATAGAAGATTTACTGTTATGCAGACTACTGCATTATTGTAAAAATGGTATAAATAATATCAGTGTACAAGTGAAAGAATATCAGACTCCCCAGCTGACATGTATTGGACATGTGGTGTGATTTGCTTACTCTTGAACATTGGTAAAAATTGAACATTTTCGCTACTTTAACTCAATTTCAAGGTCGTTTTCATCGTGAAACTAATCAAAATCATCTCTATTTCTGTAATATGTTTTCCATTCTATGAAATGAGACCAAGAAAACGAGAATACAACCATAAATACTATAAGTAAATACACCTGAAATTTGGCACTTTAATCCAAAAAGCACAGTCAGTTTTTTTTCTTTCATTATGCACTGCATGCTGCAGGATTTTTTTATACAGTGCACACAGACCCATTCTCTCACATGTGGGCCTACCAGCTTTCTCCTGCTTGGTTTCAAGCAGCTAGAATTATTGAGTAGCATATATACGTCCGAAACACTGGCTCGTAAGACGTGTATATACGGCCGAAACAGTCATAGGGTTAAACTGTCCAAACGTAAATCTACGTTCGCATGCATAGCGCTCTGAACGTAGATCTACATTCGATTTTACATTGTTTCTTATGTGATAAAAACGTAGATCTATGTTCGGAGCGCTACGAGTGCAAACGTAGATCTATGTTTGGACAGTTTAAGGGTTAAGTAAATTTAAACTTTTGAAGAGTGAAAGTGTGTGTTTCCTGGCACTAGACTGGGTGATCATTCACACTGCTGCTTTTTTGTTGATTTATTATTGACTTTGTGATTTGATGTATTGATCCCCAGGCACAAATAGCATAGATAAGGTAAGGAAAGATTAGAGAGTGGTATCCCACTGAAGCAGGGTGACCTAAAAAATAATAATGAAAGTTTTATTGATAAATTTAGTAATTTATACAGGAGAAGGGGTTACTAACCCCTTGCTTCCTTGAGGTACAAAGTAACGTACATTTGAGAGGATACCAACTGATTTGGATACCTCTGTTGTTATGTGCTGAATACAGGTGTTGAATTTCAAGTTGCTGTCAGGGGTACAGACCTAAAAATTTTCCTTTGTTTTCTCTTTCAATGAGAACTGCTAATCATAACATATAGTTGGATATTTGCAGCTCTCTTCCCAAACATCATGTAGAAGGTCTTATCAGTGTTTAGAGTGAGTTTCTTTTTTTTTTTTTTTTTACCCACACTATTCATCTTCCAAATAAGGAAACATTTATCATCATTCATTCAGTAGCTGTCTTGCTGAAAGTGCACAGACATCACAAAATCTGCAAAATCCCCACATTTATGGTAACCATACTTTCTTTTAATTTTGGATGCACATTTATATAAAAAAATTTTTAGGTGGATATCATTCCTTACTCGTGAAGTCATGGAAGAAGCCACAACATTTAAGGAAGCCAAAACCATGCTTTCACAGCCACGACTGTTGGCTCCTGTCTACTTCATCCTTGGTGGAGCTAAGCCTGGGGAAGTAAGTTGCAAGGTTTATTATTCTTGAGCTTAGGTTCCTATATCACATTATTTTTATGGTCATGGTAAGTTAGATTCCTTTGAAAAGAATAACATTATGAAGTACAGCCATCCAAATAAATTTCTGGAAAAAAATGATAAAATAATAAACATCAGTAAAGTGTTATGAAACAAAAATTATATGTCATTATTTGATTTGCAATTTCAGTTCTGTAATTCTAATACCAAGGTATGCAGTGAAAAATGATACAATAATGTTATATTTTTATCAGGTTTAATTTATTCTGTTAATTATAGATGTACAGTAGATCCCCCGTATCCACTGATTCAGTATCCACAGTTTACTGTGGCCCAAAAATACCTCTTAATTTTGAATAATAATGGCCACAAAGTGCAAAAGTAGAAAAGCTGGCAGTTCTTCAAAGCCTAAAAGAAGCTGTGAAGTGCTTCACATCAGTGAAAAAGTGACAATTTTCCAATTATTGTGATATTTTATCAGTTAAACTTAACAGTAAGTATGTATAGGACATATACTATAGGGTTTTCTACTATCTACGGTTTCGGTATCCATGGCAGGTCCTTGGAACGTATCTCCCGGGGGGGTCCTACAGTACTGTAAATCTTCTAATCATATGTTTTTATAAGCCATTTAAAAAACAATAAATTGTTTCTACTTAGCTTTGATGCTCTATTATTTTAATCCTTTTTTTTTTTTACATATTTCTTGCTTAATTTAACCATTTTAAAGATAACGATAAAGAGATAAAGATTTTTATTTCTTTGCATGGTTACAATTTATATTTTCAATTTTTATTAGTTAAGTACAAAGAAAGCCACTATCATGCTGGGGCATTACGGGCAGACTTATTCTAATACATAATAACTATATGTACTTAAGTCTAGACAAGATAAGTGTGGTTAACTTCTTACTAAATCTTTATTTTATCTTAATACTAATGTGAGGTAGTCAAGGTGGAGGTTTATAAGAATAATAATTTTGAAGTTGCACATAAGGGAAGGGGAATTGTTTTAACCCTTAAACTGTCCAAACTTAGATCTACATTCGCGTGCGAGGGTCTCCGAACATAGATCTACCTTTTTTTTTTACATGCTTTCAAATGGGGAAAATAAAGGTCAGAGCGCTACGCACGTGAACGTAGATCTACGTTTGGACAGTTTAAGGGTTAAGCTATAGCTGTGTGTAAAAATCCATATTTATCTTTGAGGATTATCATTTCTGTTTTCTATATATTCTGAGCTACTGTCCTTGTAATGTTTTGATTCAGACCACTAATACTAAGTCTGATAATTCCAGGGGGCAATCATCACTCGTTGGCGAGATAACTTTCATGCTGATAATATGGGTGACAGTGCTACTGACCCAGGATCTTGGTTCCTTGTTGAAACAAACTACGATCAGTGGTCATCACCACCATTTTATGATGACCGAAGAACTCCAGCAATTAACTGTCTTAAGGAAGGAGGGCAAAAGAATGCTTCACCAAAGCTGATTTACAATGTTCTTTCAACCAAACCAGTATTTAACAAAGTAAGTCTCAAGAAAGTTGGATAAATTTGTCTTCTTTGAACTTTAAGTTTGACAAATTATGGTATAAAATTAATATATCTCATTTCAGAATTCTAAGCATATTTTCTCAGTTGTAAGGGATATCCCAAGAGGGATTGGAAAGAATGGGTAAAAGATGTTTTAAGTGCTAGGGGGCTTGAGCATTCAGCAAGCTTTTTTTTTTTTTTTTTTTTTTTTTTTTTTTTTTTTTTTTTTTTTTTTTTTTTTTTTTGTGTGTGTGTTTGTTTGTTTGCTTGTTTGTTTTTGTGTGTGTGTGTACACTCACCTAATTGTACTCACCTAATTGGGGTTGCAGGGGTCGATACTCAGCTCCTGGCCCAGCCTCTTCACTGACTGCTACTGGGTCCTCCCTCTCCCTGTTCCATGAGCTTTGTCATACCTCCTCTTAAAACTATGTGTGGTTCCTGCCTCCACTACATCGCTTGCAGACTATTCCACTTCCTAACAACTCTGTGGCTGAAGAAATACTTCCTAACATCCCTTTGACTCATCTGAATCTTCAGCTTTCAGTTGTGACCCCTTGTTTCTGTGTCCCATCTCTGGAACATCCTGTCTCTGTCCACCTTGTCTATTCCATGCAGTAGTTTGTATGTCGTTATCATATCTCCCCTGACCCTCCTGTCCTCCAGTGTCGTCAGGCCGATTTCCCTTAACCTCTCTTCGTAGGATATTCTCCTTAGCTCTGGAACCAGCCTTGTTGCAAACCTTTGCCCTTTCTCTAATTTCTTGATGTGTCTGACCAGGTGTGGGTTCCAAACAGGTGCTGCATACTCCAGTATGGGCCTGACATACACAGTGTATAAAGTCTTGAACGATTCCTTACTGAGGTACCGGAACGCTATTCTCAGGTTTGCCAGGCGCCCATATGCTGCAGCAGTTATCTGGTTAATATGTGCTTCTGGCAACGTATTTGGTATTATACTCACCCCTAGATCTTTCTCCTTGAATGAGATTTGCAGTCTTTGGCCGCCTAGCCTATACTCTGCCTGCGGTCTTCTTTGCCCTTCTCTGATCTTATGGCGGGGTTAAATTCTAGGAGCCAGTTGCTGGACCATGCGTCCAGCCTGTCCAGGTCTCTTTGTAGACCTGTCTGGTCCTCATCTGATTTAATTCTCCTCATTAACGTCACATCATCTGCAAACGGACAATTCTGAGTCTATTCCTTCCATTATGTTGTGTGTGTGTGTGTTTTGTGTGTACTCACCTATTTGTGGCTGCAGGGGTCAAGACTCGGCTCCTGTGTATGTGTTTGTTTGTGTGTGTGTGTGTGTGGTGTGTGTGTGTGTGTGTGTGTGTGTTTTGTGTATTTTTTTTGTGTGTATGTGTGTGTGTGTGTACTCACCTAATTGATCTAATTGTGGTTGCATGGGTCAAGTAACAGCTCATGGCCCTGCCTATTCACTGTGTGTGTGTGTACTCGCCTAATTCACCTAATTATGGTTGCAAGGGTTGATACTCAGTTCCTGGCCCAGTGTGTGTGTGTGTGTGTGTGTGTATGTATGTATTTGAGCAAATTAGATTAGGGTAAATGACAACAAGTGGGTTTTATTACTTGAGATTATATTGGAGTGTGAGCAGTGTAACACTGAGAGGATTCAGGGTAAACCAGTTGGTTGAACTTGAGTTCTGGAAGTGGGAAGTACAGGGCTTGCACTCCAGAGGAGGGGTGGGGGTGTTGCAGTTCAGAGGGTCATTTGAATTGTGATGTTTGCATACTTCTGGCAAGACAGCAGTTGATTGAATGATGATGAATGTGTTTCCTGGTTTTTAGGTCAACCTGATAATTTTGTATATCATACTACAAATACTGTATATTGAAAGTGATAGTTTATTGGATGTGCATGCACATGAATAATGAAGTATTTATTTAAAACTTGTTACAGTATATCATATTTACTCAGCACACTTAAGTTCTTTGGATGTTAAAGAGAAGGAGCCTTCCTGTAAGAGTAGTGTCAGTCTTGTGTTTAGCAGATGGAAGATCTAGCCACCACCACTTCTTGCATTGAAGGAACAAGACAGGTTTATTAATTGGGATACTGAGTATGCATAACATGAAGGAATTGTTCTTGTGTGTATTTTTAGAATATAAGAGGAAGAAATATTATTAAACAAATGATTAATTTACAAGAATTAGTATGAAGTCTAAGATAATTGATATTTCAGTTATTAACATGTCCAGAATATTTTTTATCACATGAAAGATAGATTCTAAGGTGGAGCTGTATATAGTACAAGTTATTGGCATTGTGCTTATCTTTAGCCATCTCATATTTGTTCATTGTTACTCCATATACTCATGAAACATATTATGAGTAGGGCTTGTGGGGTACTTGTATAAGAACTGGTAGATTTTCACACCATCATCTGTAAGTTGTGATAATTGTTCATTAACACTTTGACTGTCACAAGCCCCTTTCTGAAACTCATTCTATGTCGCAAAATTTTTGGGAAAAAAAATTATTTTTTCTCATGAAATGATAGAGAATCTTTTCCCGATGGTAATGACACCAAAAGTACAAAATTTGGTCGAAAACTCACGGAATTACGCTCCCGCAAAGTTAGCGGTCTCAGCGACATACACGCATCGGCGATTTTGCCGACTTTGAGCCCTGTTTTTGGCCAGTTCTGTTGTTCCAGTTGACCAAACTCATAGCTATTTCTTTAGAACTTCATTTTTCCTATCAGTTGAGTACAAGAAACTGCCCATTTACCGATTTGAACTACCCAATACGGTGATCAGAAATTGGCAATTTGGCCAATTTCATGCAAATTAAAAAAGATGCCAATTTCAAAATGGGGTCCAGAATAAACAATGTAGACATTCTTGGCACTAAAATAACATATTCTCTGTTCATTAGTCACGTCTCTAGGTCCCTCTTATATTACTATTGCTTTCTATTTTGATCTTTTATTCATACAAAAAATACAAAATTTCCTGTTATGCAGACTATTGCATTATTATAAAAATGGTATAAATAATATCAGTGCACTAGTGAAAGAATATTAGACTCCCCAGTTGACGTGTATTGGATGTGTGGTGTGATTTGCTTACTCCTGAACATTTTTAAAAATCGAACATTTCTGCTACTTTGAGCTCAATTTCAAGGTCGTTTCATCATGAAACATCCAAAATCTATCTCTATTTCTGTAATATGTTTCCCATTTTATCACGTGAGACCATGAAAACGAGAATACAACAATAAATACTATACGAATATACACCTCAAAGTCGGCATTTTAATCCCAAAAAACGGTCAGTTTTTTTCCTCATTATGCACTGTGTGCTGCAGAATTTTTTTTATGTGGTGCACATTGACCACACAGACCCATTCTCTCACATGTGGGCCTACCAGCTTTCTGCTGCTTGATTTGAAACCGCTAGGATTTATGCGTATAAATACATCCGAAACAGTGGCATGTAATACGTATATGTACGACCAAAACAGTCAAAGGGTTAAGGTTTGATTCTGAAACTTAAAAATCCATGGCTAGCTCTTGAATCATTTGTTTATATCATCAATTGATAATTTTTTCAATATATTCATAGTGTTTAAGTATTTGTCACTAGTATCCTGTCTAGTTGTCCTAATATGTGAAACATTTGAAGCTGAACTTATTACACTTGTGTATCATGAACTAATTGACATATAAAAGTGATTGAAAACTGTCTTGTAAAATACGTTTTTCATTAAATTTTTGTCACTGGCCTGCCAGAATGAAAATGACTGAGAAGTGTGATAGGTGAAGCTGGATTGTGAAGTGAGGAGTGAAGAGTGAAGTAAGATGATAAGGGGTGAAGGGGGTTTGTGAAGTAAGGGGATAAGTGAGGAGTGAAGGGGGTTTGTGAACTAAGGGGATAAGTGAGGAATGAAGGGGGTTTGTGAAGTAAGGGGATAAGTGAGGAATGAAGGGGGTTTGTGAAGTAAGATAACAGGAAATCTACTAGTAATCAGTGGTGATTGCTAGAGTAGCTACTAGGCCATTGCTAGGTGACTGATAGCAATCAGTGGGTTTTTTTTTTTTTTTAAAGGAAGGAAGGAAGAAAATTTTTTGTTGTGAAGTGATGGTGTTAGAGGGGTACAGGCTGCCATAATTATAATTATCTTTATCCTGCAATTCTCTGAAGAAAGAAATCAGTTATGGGAACTGGAAAAGGCAAATGAGGAAAAAGCACCCTGGACAGTGAAAGCCCAACAGTTACCATCCTACCAGAAATGTAAATGTCACTATTGCTGCAAGGTATGGCAACACTGCATACCAAAACAAAAACAGTGGTGCACGGCTCTTATAGCGCCACTATTAAGTGGCGATATCCAAACTAATCCAGGACCTCAAACTATGGTACAGGTGCAAAACAGATAAGTGACTGTGATTATGACGGTCTAGTAGCTAGGAATGATAACCTTAACTCTATATGTAATGTATACATAGGGTAATGCGAGATAATAGAACCATTCTTATTATCTCAGGCACCACCAGATATGTGTATACACTGTACTAATATAGTGTACTAAATATCAGTAACGAGGTATGCCATGAAACAACTAAGGTGGCAGATTGTTTTAATTCCTACTGCACATCTGTCGCATCAGCACCAGTAAATAAACTACTGGCTGCATCAAATACCTTTAACACAGACTCTGAAATTCATATTCATATTCATTCATATAATTTATTTGGACATGATACATAGTTGTACAATGAATTATAGTAGTTGGGTGTACATGCCAAAAGCCCCTTGTATGCAGAGCATTATGGGCAGGCTTAAAATTAACTTAAAATTAACAAGCAATGAAAGGTTCAGTGTTAAAAATTACAGTAAACCATTTACAATATGAAATTTGAACATATCAATACTAAATCATTATATAGTGTACTAGTTATACAAAATTGTCACATTACAATGTATAACGAAAGATGATCAATTTGCTATATGTTGTCTTGAAGTTTTAAGATTT